CCCGGTACCTGCTCCGTGATCGGGGCGGCCCCAGAGGCCGCTCCTGGTTTGCGTGGGGCAGTTTCCTGACTGCGCTCCCCCGTGACAGAGCGAGGCCGGGAGGCTGGTGGCCCCCATCCCTCAGCCCGCTGGCCAGGCCCGGCGGTGACTGGGGACAGGCCCTCGCTTCCCACAGGCTGCGCAGAGGTTTTGGGGTTGAAATAATAATAAACGCCCAAGCAGAAAAGGAGAAGGCGCAGCAATGACAGCACATCCACGCAGCATTAGCGTTGCTCCAGGGGATCAAAGGCAGAAAGGCCGGGGGGACCCTTTCACCACAGGGCTCCTCCGGAGCCTGGCTCTCCTCAGGAGCACAGATGAGTCCGGCACTCACCCAGGAGCGCCAGCAACAGCTGGGAAAAGGTCACACCAGAAAGTAGAGCTGGGCTTACCTAGTTTCCGGCTGTACTCACAATAAAACAGGCTGACAGTGCATCAGAGGACTTCCCAACACTGTTCTCAGAGCGCATCGGTCACAACAGATACACCTCGCTCGCAAAGAAGGTTGGAAGGAGCAAAGGATTCATTTTGCTGACATACAGAAATAAAGGAATACCTATAAGCTTTAGCTTTACATCACACAATGCACATCACAACATAATATCACTCAGACAGCAAAGGAAAACAATACATGGCAGATCCTTGGTAACGTAAATAAGCAAAGCCGAAATCAGCCAAACTACATCAGCTGAAGATGTGGCTCAGTATAGACACAGCGAATAAGGGGAGGGCATGAAATCTGAAAAGCCTACTGGGTTTAGGTTAGATGTTTTCAGGTTAGACATTTTCAGGGCCAAAAAGTCCACGGATGTCCTGTCTTTGGCGAGGTATCAAAGGCAATCACGATGGTGAGTACTTCAGGCCTTCTGGCACAAGACCTATACTTTCATTCTAAAAGTCTCGGTCCGTACAATATAATTTTCTTTCATTTTGTGCAGCGGAGAGATGTTTCACAGAAAATTTCATGGGTCATTACAACCTATGTCTTAAAATGAAACTAAAATTCTAAGCTATAACATCCCATGCAAAGGTGTTAGACATTGCAAAAATAAGACGACAGTGTGACCAAAAAACCCCCCTTAGCTTTTGAAACATCTAACGAAAACCGAATGCAGAAAAACTTGCATAACACCCATTTTTTTTTTTTACCTGAGCAAATAACAAAAAAAATCAGGGCCTGGGGATTGCTTCTGTTGTATTAAAATGCTGATAGAGAGAAGTATGTCTTTGAAATTCCTTTTTATTTACTGAAAAGATTGAGATTTCTGTTTCCCAGAACCCATTAGGAATCAAACAGCTAATTTTTTTTTTTGCTAGTTGCCAGTCCCTGAAAACAGCTCAGCTCAAAAGAATGCTTTTTAGCCTTTTCTTATAACTACATACCCACCATTTGTGGATACGCACCACGTCAGGTACTTCCTTGCTTCCATGTCTTTCAGTTTCTCTTGTCCTTCACAACCTCTTTTGCAGACTACAGCGCAGGCTAAACAATAGCGACCAAAAGCTTAAAAAACCCTACTACAGTCCAATATGCCTTCATTGTAAGCAGCGGTGCGCACCCGTGTTTGGCATTGGAGTGTGCGGTTACATACTCTTTCTGTTCGCAAAATGTGGTTTTCCTTTTCTTTTAATAAGCTAGTCCTCAGAAGTACTCAGTAAGTGAATAGGAATCCCTCTCTGCTTCAGATTCGGTGGGAGCTCTGGCAGTTAAGACCCTTGAAATACTTAATTTCAAAACATATTTCAGACACTGCCTATCATCTCCTTTGCTGAAAGATACCACATTACATCGTTGTCCTAACAGTGCCTTTAGTAACCGAGCACATAAGGCTGCCTGTAGTACATTTCAGATTGCCTGTAGATAATTTGTTTCACCAAGATCCAAAGGTAACTTCCCAGGCTAAAGCATGAGACAACTTTCTCTCACATTTCTAGGATGTTATCCATAATGAAATCCACCGCAACTGCTAACTCATTCACTGTCTCAGCTAACACGATTTCCTGCTCCAGTTCCCGGAGTTCAGTTCACGAAAATAATCTTCCTATCTCGTGTTTGGGTTCATGTTCCCCAGTTTCTGTGTCTGTTGAGGCCGAACTGGTATTTATGTTATTTCCCCGCTTCCTGGGCTAATTTAAGAACTGTCACATTTGATCACATATTCTCTGTTCCCTTGCAATTTCACACGTTCCACCAGACACCTCCAAATTAAACTCCCATTGTTAAGTAACAACCAGCATTGAAAGAGGAGCTGCGAGGCAGCTACCTGTTATGCTACAGTTCACCCTCTGTTTTGGTCTGCTGTTTCCCAGAAGGTGTGAAGGAATTTCACCAGTCACATATGATCCTCTGTCCTGCTTAGCCTCCTCTTTCACTGGAGCCATGCTTTGGGGTGATGCTTTTGCAGTTGTAGGTCCTGCTCCCCTTAGTGACTGTGTTGACTTTAGTATCCTTGTACTGTTGTTTAGTTCCTTTAATCCTTTCTGCAGTCCTCTTAGTCCCGCTTTTTCCTGGAAAGCCTCGTCATATGTGGCAACCTGATTGACATTTACTACACCCATTTGTCTTGATGAACCAGGGCAGGAGTTACCAATATGTATTCGGCATCTTTGTGGCAGCAGACTCACAACGATTTTATGACCAACTACAGGGTTTTTTTTTTCCAGCTCTCCTTTATATAGCCTTCAGCTATTTCTTCAGTATACTTCTCCTCATCTACCAGAAAGTCCTGAGTACAGCAGGAAAAAAAAAAGGACAGGTTTTTTGGTTACAGCTTCAAGCACATCTCAGCCTGTACTCCTCTTTGTGCTTTCCTCAGGACTTCTTCAGGCTGTGTCAGTGCATCCTCACCACCTTCTCTCTCTCTGGTCCTTTCCACCTATTGCAGATGCACAGATAAAAGGTGCTACAGAATAACCAGCAAGAACACCCCTCAGATATCCCTTGAAGGGATGACATTCTGGGATTTGTGGTGGAGGCTGTGTTTTTCCTTTCCCTTTGGAACAGCAAAAAATCCCCTCGCCTTACATGCTTCTAATAACTATCTTAAGTCAGGATGATGGTCATTTATAATGACAATATTAAAAAATTTTAAAAAAGCAAGGATCTATAGGAGACTTCAGATTCCACTAAAACAGAAACCTGAAAAAATACTGCAAATTTTGCTAGGACATTAATACAGGCCGGAAATCCTGGAATCTGTGGCTCTCACAGGCTTCCCTACATTGTCGTTTGCAAACTCACAAAGTGAAACTAGCTATAATTTTAACTACATTTTACTCTGCAGCTCATAAATGCATTCATCACAAGAAGCAACTGAGTTGGAAGGTGGGAAATTCTCTTTCCCATGGTAGTCTACTGTGGTCTTTGGTAGTATGGATCAAGGTATTAGCTCCCCCTGCTTAAGGGGAGAGTAGAAGTAACCTTTTGTAACAGTGTGGCTCGCAAGGGTTATTTACTTACTGCTGAATGACTTCCCGTTGCATATACACCAGGAAGTTTTTGACATTACTGAGCTTTCCACTACAGTGACGGCTACTCTGATTTATCACTGGGGCAAGACTGAGGATGCAAAAAAATCAAAGGCTGTGCAAAGTATGAATAGATTAATGATGACAGGCTCCACCTGGAAACTGAGAGCTAGTTTTGTGAAGGATGTAAGAGGAAAAAAAGCCAGCGACATTTTGGATAGAAACCTCACAAGTGAACACACACAGGGGGACGTTTGGAAGCTGCAACCTCAGCAATGGAAGTGAGCACCCACAGTGCAATGGCAGAAACAAGAGCGTCCTCAGAAGGCTCATCATGGAAGTGGTCATTTCTTCCTGTTGCCCAGGTTTTGCTGGAAGGGAAGGTGTGAAATTAGACCCTCTTACAAACCAGAAGTACTTTCCAATCATCTTGCTTTTCGTAGAGTATGTAATACCCAAATCTGGAAACCTGTTTCTCAGAACTGCACATCAAAACACCGATTCAGAGATGCTGAAGTGAATCAGAGACCATCAACATTATTTCCAATGGAACTAGACAACTGCTCAGTAATTTAACTTTAGGTTATTACCGGTTTGGGACTCACTGACCAGAGCTGCTGAAGATATTTTTTGCTTTAGTGAGCAATATTTACATTTTTTAAAAAAGGCAAAACCAGAGGTTTTTTCTCCTGCTCTTTTGCTGTTGCTGAAATTTGTGAAGAAACAGATTTTTTTTGCGAATGTTTCCAATTTGCTGAACCACCCACTGAAAAAACATTCAAAGGGAGAGGTTCTAGCCTGGCTTTGTGAAGACCTTCAGACAGTTCGTTAGGCTATTCCCAATGCTCTCAGCCATCTAGTTTTCTTACCAACACTTGTGTCTAAGGGAGCAGAGAGTACTTTTTTTCATTACGGTTTTTCTTTTACTGTCCAAAAGCTGTGCACTATGGAAAGTCGCATGGTCTGTGACATAAAACAAGACTCAAACCATTTACAGATCAATACAGCCCAGTCTTATTGTGCACTTCCGTTCTGTTTCTGAACTCTCATACTTTGCTTGATCCAAACTCGTGCTTTAGGTTACTACTGCCCTGCCCCTTTTAACTAGCTGATGAAGTACAGTAGCAACAGCTGCTGGCACCAGAAAAGAAAACAGCCAACTTCAGAAGGCCAGAGTAACAAAACAGATCGGTTTTGTTCTAGAAAGTACAAGGAAGGTACTAGAAAGTATGCTTTCTAGGTTAAAAAGTGAAAGGAAAAAAACAAACTTCATTAGGGTATAGATTTTTGTACTTGCTTAACAAGACAGTCCTGTATGGTCTCATGTTGTAACTGTGTAAAATGCAATACTGGGAACTGGCACAAGGAATGCCCACACAAGAACCAGATTGTTCCTATGTAAAAAAGGAAAACAGCAAGAGGT